CACTCCACATTCTGTTTTCATTTCCCTTCCCTGACTCCAGGAACTCCAGGTAGGATTGCTGGTGTCCCTTCAGCAGAGAAGAGGAAACCAGACTTGCCACTTGGTTTGAGGAAGATATCACTATAAATGCTAGGCAGAATGTAGGCAGCCCTTATAACAGGGTCTGGCCAAGCCCTGGCCACACCACACAGAGAGACTCAGTTTAAAAATATGGGACATTAAGATTGTTGCAGTGGTCTGCCAGGGGACTATGCACAGAATTGCCTTTCAGGGACTATGGAGTATGTGGGGGATTGTTTAAATGCCCAGCCCTGCTTTTACCAGGGCCCAGGAGTGTGTAAGAGAAAGTCAAGGAAGGTTCTTGCCCTCAGGAGTTTTCTGTCCTGCCAGGACTCCTTGGCATAGGCTGGGAGAAAGGTCAGGATGAATGAGTGAATAGTCTGAGTAGTTTAGTATCTCAGAAGGTAGCACAACTTGTTTTTTTTTTTTTTTTTTAAATGTGGCAAACTCAGGGCCCAGCCTTTGGCTCCCAGGACTTTTTGGCAGAGTGAATGAAAATGAAAGAACAAAGGCCATGGAGTTGGTGAATCAGATCAAGTGACATCCTTCTAAAACCAGAAAAACTGGCCTAGGCCTGCTGGACAGCACTGGAGTCAGGGTCACTTCCAAGGAGAGGTGGCTACTTCAGTGGGGTCAGGATAGGGACACTGGGAAGATGTGGCCATCACATACTTTTCACATTACTCTTCAGGTAAAGACAGGGACCCCAGGAAGCTCCCTAACAACTAAGTGCCCTGGGAAGGTAGCCAGAGAGCTATCAATTGAGAGACTGGGAGAGGGGCTTAGAGGGAAGATCTCAAGCAGGGGCTGATGCCCAGGGTGGGAGCCCTACCTGGACCCCTTGTTGGAACCTTCCAGGGGCCAGGGCCAGGAGGAACAAAGGCCCTGAGACCCTGAGGGGACCATAGAGGGACAGAAAGGGTAGAGCAGTGAGAGAGGAGAGAGCCCCTAAGCAGAGCCATTGCCAAAGGAATGCTTCTGAGGCCTGGCCTCATGCACAGTCTTCATCTTGAAACCTGGCAGGCAGTTTGGGAGCTAGGGAGAGTAGGGGAACTAGGTCTTTAGGAAGCAGCTTTTCTAAGTTTCAGAATAGAAGAGATGAACGGGACGTTCTTAAGTGGCAAATTACTCAAGATGGCTGGGAAGCTCTTAGAAATAAAACAGTGGTACCCATGGGGAAATAAGGCAGTGACTAGAAGCTGATATGAGTGCATAAAAAACCCCTGTTGAAGGAAGTTGGAAAACAGATGGAAAGAAGGACATGTAATTAAAGATGAAGGTAGCAGATGGTCCAGAGTGAGCCGGAGCTTGTGGTGAAACTCAGGACGACCAAGAAGAACGACGAGCAGTGCCTGCTGTTGGAGGCCAGTGGCGCAGCGTAAGCTGAACAGAAAGAAGCCAGAGGGACTTGAGTCCTGTTTTGTTTGCATCTTTTCTTTCAAGCTTGAAAAAGTAGGACAAATGGTGGTAGGAGGAACATGAGCCCCAAGTTGAGTAATTTATCTCATGACCTTGGTGAGTTCTGCCTTGGGGTGCTGAGGGTATAGTTGGTGACCTACAGGATGTGTGGGAGGCAGCAGAGGGGCTGGAGGCTGTAGGTGACTAATGCCCGTTCATCAAAAAGATGGAGGGGGTGGGCTCCACAGGTTACTATTGGATGAAACTTTTAGCACTTAGGAAATGGTTGTCCCTGGGCTTGATTGTGCTCACTGGGAATAAGGTATATCAATTTTAGTTCGTTTGTTTTTTTTCAGTATTAGACAAAGTATTTTGGGATTTAGGTAAGGTTTTGATGTAATCTTAGGACTCAGCTTAGGAAGCTGAGTGGCCAGCTTCCTGGCCACCTGGTGATGCCGTCAGCTTGTTTGTAGCCAGTGAAAGACTCTGCTTGGGAAGGATTCTTCCCCACGCTCATCCCCAGCCAGTGCACCTTATGGAAGGGCTCTGCTCTGGATCTTGTGCTGTCCATGATTTGAATTCGTGTCTCAGGGCTCTACTGATGGTGGTGGTGCTTGAGAACAGGCCAGGCGGAACAGGATTGAGATCTCAGAGCTCTCCATGGGCCAACTCTGGAAAGCTGGACTTTACCAGGTAAAAGTGAGAAACTGCATTTGAGACCAGAAAGGTTAATGGCGCAGGCACAGTCTAGGGCTTGTGGCTTAGTAGGGACATGGGTAAGAGAACTCTTTTGAATTTGTGCTGATTGCAAACTACATATATGTCAGCAGCAGGATGTAGCCTCCAGAAGAGTCGGTGTGGGTGCAGGCATTGACAGACATTCAGAAGGTTCCAGGGATGTGATACTCCAGGTTCCCTGAGCCTGAACTGGGATACCCAGGCTCATACATGCAGAAGAATCCCTGACCTCTCAGTTCTTCAGTTCTGAGAAATTTCATTCCATTTCTTTTGTAGTTTTCTCCCTTCTATTTTTCTGTTCTCTCATTTTGGAACTCATGGAACTCTGGAGTTGATCTGATTTTTTTCACCTTCCCTGCTATTATCTATCTCTTTATCTTTCTGTTCTACTTTCTGGATGATTTTTCTAAACTTATAGAGTTTTATTTTTCTTTTATTGATTGTAGAGAGAGGGGAAGGGATGGAGAAAGAGAGGGAGAGAAACATCGATCAGCTGCCTTGTGAACACACCCTAACTGGGGACCAAACCTGCAGCCCAGGTGTATGACCTGACCAGGAATCAAACCGGCAACCTTTCAGCACATAGGATGATGCCCAACCCACAGAGCCACACTTGCCAGGGTGACTTATATTGAGTTTTTGATTTCACTATTTATAATTTTAATTTCCAAGAGTTCTTTTTTATGTTCATTAAAAACAAAACAGCACCTGATCTTGTCTAATCTGATCTGATTGGATGTGCTAATACCTCTTTCCACTTCCATCTACCAAAAATGTGTTTACATATGTTAACTGCATTTTGTTTTGTGTTGTTTTGTTTTGGGTTTTGTGCTCTTCTCTTTGCTCTAGGTGGTTCATGCTGTTTACAGAAACCCTTCACTCTTACTTCAGTGGGCTTCTGGGAGGGAGCAGAGTTTAATCCACCTTATTTAACTGAAAGCTTATTCTTTCACTTAACCTAAACATATCCTTTTGTTTTGAATATGTCTGTTTAGACACATTTTGATGTGATTTATGGATTTAAAAACATCCACTATGAGAGTCTGAATTTTGATCAGGGAGTCTAACCCATCATATATTTACTATAATTACTATTCTGTTAGGACTTCTGCCATCTTATTTAATGCTTTATGCCTGCCATGTGTTCCTTGCTTCTTTTTTTGCCTTTCCTGTCCTTTATTGTATGGATTGAATTTTCTCTGCTCATTTTAAAGTTAAATACTATTCTTACAGCTACCTCCAACTCACTGTGTCCCATACCCTCCCCTGTCACTGTCTGTGTCTCACGAGTCTCCGCGCCATCCTGCCCGCCTCTGCTCCCCACCCGTGCTGGTCCCTTGGCTGTGCAGCGGAGGGACGTGCGCTCCGTCCGTTTGCCATCTTGTTCAGAACTAGACAAGGCTTGTTCAGGGCTGTTCTAGAGGAGACTCCAGTGCTCAATGGGAGTTTGATTTAAACAACCTTTAAAAAAAGGTCTCAGAGGTTTTGGGCAAGTTCCAAGGGTGGTAGTTTCTTAGGGGGAGTGAGAGGGGGCATGGACAAGTCCAGGAGCTTTCGAGTAGAACTGGAAACAGCTGACCTTCTCAAGTTCTTTTGTAAGCTGCCTTTCTGAGACTTCTACTTCCTGCTTTGCTCTTAAGTGCTGCGCAGAATACTGTCCTATAAGAGGCAGGGAAGAAAGGAGGAGAGGGGGCCTTGGGGAGGTAGGGAGGGCTGGGGACTAGGTCGAATGGGCACAGGCACACCCCATCCAAAAAGGCAGCCGTTACTCAAGGCCACTGAGTCATTATCAGTAGGAATGTGGGTCCAGCAGTGCCAGAGCTTGCAGTTTTTCAAGAAAACCTCTCAATTTGTATATATTGGCTCAAAAACGTTTATAGCCCCATGCAGGCCAAACATCATGTCTGCAGACTGGATCTGGCAGACGGACACTGCCACCCATGACCCCTGCTCTGGCTAGTCCATGGTTCTCTCCGTGTCACCCATGACAGTTCTCCCTCCTGGACAAATGTCCCCCAGAGGTGTGATTTCCCACTTCCCTCCCCTTTCAGCCACCTCTTCTGGGTCCCTTTACCCTGCCAGCTAACTCTGGTCTAGTGCCATTCTCACTACCATGTGCTGTTTCTCACAATCATCATTCTGTTAAGCACCTTAACCATCCCCCTTGTTTGCATTACTAACTTATCTAGTAAATGAGTAGTGTGAAGGTAAACTTTGTTCTGGCGCTGAGAGTATAGGGCACATGGGTCTGGTTTTCCCGGAGCCTGTCTGCGGCCTGAGCCCACGGGTCCTTGTCCCTAGAAGTGTGAGACCGGACTCTGCCTGCCCTCTCTGGGGTATGGTGCAGATGCCACACGCTGGGCCCAGCTCTCAGAGCCTTGGCCTGCAGAGGGCAGGGCTTATGTGGTCCAGAGCTCCGAACCTGTGAGCCTCCTTGGGATGGCCCCTTCTGCCTGCCACGGCCTCTGGGGTCCTCTTGTCCTGCGTCCCCTTCCCACCTGGCTCTGTCTCTCGCATCACTCCACCTGAGTGGCGGGCCTGCAGCATTATAAACATGGGGCAGTTGGTGACTCATTATTTATTCCTCTGTAACCCCATAGATAGGGAAGTGAGACAGCCACACCTGGTGGGACCTGACCTTCGGGTGACAGTGGAAGTAGCTATGCAAACCACCAGGGAAGTCCTTTCCGCAGCCAGGCTGTGAAGAGAACACTTGCTTGGCCTGGCCCCACGTGCCTCCAGGAGCGGCTCTGGTAACAGTTTCTCCCCTCCACCCTCACACCCCTGCTTTTTCTTGGTGACAGCTGGAAGTGGCAGTGGTTACAACTGAGAGAGCCAAACATTTCTACAGCCCCCAGGACATTCCTGTTACCCTCTACAGCGACGCAGATGAATGGGAGGTCAGTGCTGGGGGCCCCAGGGCTGCATTCCGTCAGAACAGGACTGTCCTCCTGTAGCCCATAGTCCTGCTGTCCGGAGCAGACAGGCCAGGCTCAAGTCAGCAGTCAGGGCCCTTGGGGCAGAGATGATGAGGAAAACATCTGTCTAGCTCTGGCCTGTGGGAGGCCTGTAGTCTCCTCCCACACCAGGCAGAGCTTAGCTCTGGCTCTGTGCCTGAGGTTGAGTGTCCTTGTGCTTATCTGGGCTGATGAAACCACAGAAGGGCTCTGTTCCCGTCACCCTTGTGCACATGGCTCCCAGTGGCAGGGCTGTCCAGAGTGCCTCATTCCCACAACCACTGGGCTCTGCTGCTTCTCTCTCGCAGAAGGGTGGGCACTGGCTAATTCACCAGATACTGAGTGCGGGCTTCATAGGGATGCCCAGCCAGGAATTTTTAAATACAGACTGGAACATTTCTTTTTTGTTGTTTTTAAGCTTTTTATCTCTCTCTTTTTATAAAGGTTTTATTTATTTGTGTTTAGAGAGAGGAGAAGGGAGGGAGAAAGAGGGGGAGAGAAAGATCAATGTGTGGTTGCCTCCTATGCACCCCCCAGCTGGGCACCTGGCCTGCAACCCAGGCGTGTGCCCTAGACTGAGAATAACCAGCAACTCTTTGGTTCGCAGGCCCACGCTCAATCCCCTGAGCCACAGCAGCCAGGGCTCAACCTAGAACATTTTTGATTGGTCTGTCTTCCCCAACTCCTCCCCTCCCCCATTTCTCACTGCTCCAGACATTTCTTTCTGTCCACTGGCTTGGACGACCCAAGCATCCGCCTCAGGGGAGGAGCTCCCCACCAGATGTCAGTTCTCTTGAAAACCAAACCATAAAGGGAATATCTTGGAAAGACGAGAGGCATTTGTTTCCTCAGGCCTGGTTTCTCTCAGGCTGTTGGCTCTACAGCCAGTGCTCTTACCGCTTTAGCTGCGGGGGGGAGTGGCAGTGGACTTGGTCAGGGGTTGCTCAGGTGGTCTTCCTCAGGTTCCTGACTTAGTGTCCTCTACCTGTGTTGTCCCCATCTCCCTCCCTCCACATAGAGCTTGGCCAGCCCAGTGACCCCATTTCTTTCTCTGCCAGATGTGGAAGCACCGATCTGACCCAGTTCTCCACATTGACCTGCGGAGGTGGGCGGATCTTTTGCTGGTGGCTCCTCTTGATGCCAACACTCTGGGGAAGGTGGCCAGTGGCATCTGTGACAATTTGCTTGTGAGTGACTCCCTGTGCCCTCCTCTTTCCCTGGGCCTTGCTCCTGATTTAATGAGCTCCAGACCGCCTTTGCACAAGGTTGTTGCCTTGACATCCTTTTGTGGTGGTCCAGTTTGCTCAGAACACTATCTCCTGCCTCCCACCCATCTCACCTGTGGTCTGGCAAGTGGGCAGAAGATGTGGCCCTCCTAAATGGACTCGACTTGCATGTACTCTCTGGGGCCGTCTGCCTCTCACCTGCCCTTTGTCCTTCATTCGTGGGCTGCCGTTCTGTTGGTTCCCTGCCCAGCCCCCCGGCTCTCCCCCATTGCTTGCTTTCTCAGTGGGCTCTGCATATCCACATGGGGACCCGATTTGCTTCCTCATGGGTTTCTCACACACTTTTCTCTACTGTAGCTTTAGCCACAGGCGGAGGTGTGGGTTTCCTGTGTATCATGGGAAACTTGGAGGGGACGCAAGAAGAAAGACAGGGCAGGAGTGTGAGCTGATGGACAGTGGAGGAGAGGAACACACGTTCATCTGTGCTAAGTGGAGACTGATAGACCTCCAGGAAGCTGTTGTCCTTTAAGAGCCTTCTTGTACTTGATCATCCTGCAAAGAGTTAGGCTCGATCTCCCCCCTCCTCCTTCTGCTTTATTACTTTCTCATTCATGGAGCTTTTACCTGCCATGAACTGGACCCCATGCTGGGGAACATCCAGACAGAGGGAGCTCACAGGCTGCAAGGAGAGGGTTTTGGTCACCCATGCATCCTAGGAAGTATGATCTCGTGTGTGGCCCAGTCTTGAATGCCCCCAGCCAGTCTTTTGACAATAGAGTCACCACCTTGCACGGTGCTGAGCATACAGTAAGTGTTCAGTAAATTCTTAGTGTGTGTTTGAGAATCTTATTTTAACAAACAGCTGGGAGTTTTTCAGAGTTTAATATGGTGAAGAAGTGAATAACTAAGCTGAGTCAATATTTTGGGGGGTTAGATAGGTTAGTTTCCTCCTATGCTTGTTGATGGCACTTAAGGCACTTTCGGAAGAATCTAGTGCTTTGAGCATCCTTTGAAGAAGAGCAGCACACAGATGGCGTGACCACTGGCAGGGTGGGGTGTGCAGAGACGGGTGAGCCTGGGGCAGTGTGATCAGGAAGGCTCAGATGGGCTGGTGTCAGGGCTGACAGAGCAGCTGCAACCCGGGAGTCTCCTGCCACATTCACTCAACTGTGTCACAGTTGTATGTGGCCAGCACTGTGTCACCAAATCTCCGGTCCTCCCACTGCTGGTCAGCAGCTGGCCAGTGTGGCAAAGCACACCAGCCTCTAGGAGTTAAGCCCTGCTCTGGGCCGCTCTCCAAAGGCTCCCTCCTCCCTCCTTAGTTCGGCTTCCCTTTTTTCTTCAAAGCTGCCACCGCGCCTTGGAATCTTGGGGGTTCCCTCCTCCTGAGTTGACTGAGCAGTAGAATGTGATTTCAAGACTAGTTCCCAGACCATTTTCCTCAAAGGGTTTCACTTAAAGGCAAATATTTCAAGAAATTGCAAATCTCACAATGTTTCAAGTATCACCTTGCTCTGTGGCTCTGTCCTCTCTCAATAGATGTTTTCTCTCTATATCCCTGAAAAGAAGCTTGCCCTGCTACTTCCCTCCTTCCTGTCCAGTGACCAGAACTTAGGGTGCTGCTAGAGCAGTGTGCTGGGTGTGAATCTGTACACCGGCCTCTGGGCCTTTGACATCTCACCTGTCTTTTGGCCTACTCAGTCCTTGGCCCCTTCTTGGTGCTAAACAGCCAAGCATATCCAGAAAGAGAAGGTGAATTTCCTGGGTCACCAGTCTAGCTAGGAGCTGGTTCTCTGATCAGGAGCGAGGCCTTTTCTCCACCAAAGCACATTCCCAGGGGCAGAGCCTAAGGTGCTGAATATAGCATTGGCCAAACAGAAGTGACCATGGGAACTAAAGTCATCTTTGGGCCTCTTGTTGTCAGAAGGGTCGGATGAACTGTGGTTTGTCCAGGAAGCCCTGAGCTTCGAGACGAGGTGGGCAGAGCTAGAGAGGTACCGGACACGGGAGGTTTGGGTTTCTGCTCTGGTCAGCGTGCTTTGTTTTGAGGACACATAGAAACCCCAGCCCAGCCCACACCCCACCCCGCATGCAGTCAGAGAGCTCTTCTAGGTATGCTCATGACTTCTGCAGAAGCAACAGGTGGCACAGGGCCAAGAGGAAGTATGACTGAAACTGTCTACTCATAGTCCGGCTGCTGAGCTGAGAGGTCTTGGTGGGAAACAAAAGCTGGTGTCTGGCACTGAGTAAAGGCCAGATCCTGAGGCTGTGCGCTGTCCTGCTTCCTTCCTGTCCCCAGGAAAGGGCAGGGGTACTGAGAAGGGTGGCATTGGTCCTGGCCTCTTCATTTCACTGTTCCATGGACTCCCCTCTCTGTTCCCAGACAGGTTCCACTTTAGGAAGGAGGTGTGTTGGCTTGTCTCCCCGAGGGGCCAGCAGTCCAGGAGAAGGTGCCTGGAGTAGTCAGCACGGAGGAGCATACTCCCGGGGGCCCTAGAGCTTATTTATGCCCCAGGCGGCCTTTGACCCAGGGAGCCCGGGCCATAATATTCATAGGAGCTACTGTTTCTGGAGCCTGTACTTCTTGCCAGGCTCAGTGTGAAGAGCTTTAAGTATTTTCACACCCAATCCTCACAAATACCTAGTGAGGGGGGCTTTTGTAAGAGGAAACCAACTCTTGGCATTAACTAATTTGTCCAAATTCTCACAGCTAGTAATAGTAGATAACTCAGCCAGGATTTGAAACCAGGTCTATGTGACTTCAAAGCCCACAATGCTAAGGACTTCCTTTCACAGCGACTCCAACCTGTGACCAGATGGGAGGCCTGGCGATCAGGAGGTGGTGAGGCTGTGAGGTGCAGTGAAGGCTGTGCAAAGCCTCATGTTCCGGGTCATTGTCTGGATGTGTGACTTTGAGCAACTGCTCACCCCTGGGGAGTACAGCTCCCCCATGTGTGAGACGGACAGCACCTTCTTACAGGGTTGCAGCGGGGGGTTCATGGAGCATATACCTGAGAGGGTCTTTGTCACTTGTAAGATGTTTTTGTTGTCAGCTTTAATTGGCCTTGAAGTAGAGTCGGTGCTTGGGTGCTACCTGCTGAGCTGTCTGGTGCTTAGCTTTGTGGGTAACTACAGAGCTGGCCTTCTGCTACCAGGGTTGCTTCTGTCTGTGAGGTGTGGCTGGCTGTGGAGAAGCCTTGTGCTTGGACACAGGGAGACCTGCCTGTATAGGTGGGGAGGTCTGCTTGGAGGTGGCTGGTAAAGCACCTTCTGGGCCCTGTGCCAGAGCCTGTGGGGAGGTGGAGAGGGGAGAAGAGACATAACCCCACCCCCTGGGGGACCTGAGAAAGCTCCCCGTAGACAGCAGCCCCCAGTTATCAGAACACCGAGGCTGGTTATGGCCCAGAGGATGGTGTGTAGGAATGGGAAGGGCTGGCAGGCAGGGCAGCAGGCACCCCCTCCCTTCCCCTCCTTCACAGACCTGTGTCATCCGGGCCTGGGACCGCAGCAAGCCCCTGCTCTTCTGCCCGGCGATGAACACCGCCATGTGGGAGCACCCGATCACTGCGCAGCAGGTGGGTCAGCTCCAGGCCTTCGGCTACATCGAGATACCCTGTGTGGCTAAGAAGCTGGTGTGTGGCGACCAAGGTGGGCACCTGGCCAGGTTCACTTCTTGTTCTCGTGGCCCAGGGTCAGCGCTGGGTTCAGATCCTAGTCTGTTGTGATCTTAGGAGAAACCATTCTCCTCTGAGGCTGGCTTTCTCATCTGGAAGATGGAAATTATAATTCCTTCCCTTCAGAGTTGTTAGAATTAAATGAGATAGTTTATGGAAGGTGTATGGTATCCTAGACACACAGTCCATGCACATTTCCTGACAGCTGTGGTAACTGTTCCTGGGGCCTGACCCAGAGGGGTTTCAGAAGGTGTGACGGGTCTTGCTCATGCAGCCCTGGCCTTCTCAGGCACTGAGCTGTGGGTGGAGACCTCAGGGGAGCACTGTGTGGGCTGGGAGTGGGGGATTGTACCCTGCCTAAGTCTGCAGGGCCACAGCAGAACTTTGTTCCCTAGGTCTGGGGGCCATGGCTGAGGTGGGCACCATTGTGGACAAAGTGAAGGAAGTCCTCTCCCAGCATGCCGACTTCCAGCAGAGCTGAACGGAGGATCTCTGCTCTGTGTCCCCGTGTGTCCCCAGTATGTTTTCAGGCCGAGTCAGTGAAGGTGGGCATTGGCCAAGTATGGTGGAAATTCTCCTTTGCTGAATAGGGACCTGGCCTGGGCCTGCTCCGCAGTCTCCAAGGGTCTGACTTGCCCCAGGCTAAATTGGACCAAGAGCCCAGGACTCAACTTCTTTCAACCAAGAGACATCAGCTATCTGGAGCTCCTCCTCACCTTTTCCTGGGATGAGCCCAGCAAGCCAGAGGAGCAAGCTGCCATATTGTCCCTGTGCCTCTGGAAGGGGCCTGAGGAGCACTGACCAACTTTGATTCTACACCATGCCTAGAAACTGCCTTTGGAAACTGCCTCAGCTGGAGATCCCCAGGGTGGTGGGTCCCTGCCAGGCCTTTGGAGCTCCAGCTGCCACGTAGAATCAGGAAGACCTGCAAGTTGGCAAGACCCTGAGATTTCTCACTGACCATGCTGTGAGATGTGGGTACTGGGAAATAAAGTAAAGTGGCCTTTTGGGAAACTCTGTCCTTCCTTCACAGCTTATCTGTGGTCTCAGAGATCAGGGTGTTGGTAAGTGTGGGTGGGGATAGGTCTGGGCTGACTCCTGACTGGTGCTTCTTAGGCCCCCGTGTCATACAGTAGTTAAGGACAAAAGGGCTCTGAAGTAGGACAGCCCCTCGTTTAAATCCCAGCCCTGCCACATACTAGCAGTGGGGCCTTGACTCAGGTCTCAGCCTTTCTGAGCCTCACTCTCCTCATCTGTATTGTCCTACCCTCATGGAGTGGTTGAGAGGATCAAATCAGATAATTTGTGCAGAATAACCACCCCACTGAGTGTCTCCTACATACTAAATGTCAAATAAATGGAAGTTAAAGCTAGATATGTATACATACTAGTGAGTGTCCTTAACATTTACTGAAGTAGACTATCTCATTTTGGGAAAAATAAAATCCCGACCCTGAACAGACGTGGCCCGTTGTGCAAGTGACAGGCACATGGCCAGCAGAGTTGGAACCTGCCCTGGATCTTAGGCTCCTTGATTCTTGGTGTCCTCATCACTTTTTCTCCACCTGAGATGGGGCCTTAGTGTCTCTGCCTCCCTGCCTCCCCCCACAGCACACACATGGGTGGGAAAGCAGACTCCTACACGCATGCTTAGCCCTCTGCATTCTGCCTTTGACCTAATTGCTGTTTGGTGGCTGCACTGGGAAGGTGCTTGTCCGCCTATTTGGAGCTGAGATTAGGGCTGGCTTCCTGCCCTCCTGCATTCCCGGCCAGGGGTGAGTAGGATCCCATGCATGCCTTTAGACACTGAGGGTCGAGGTGCTTTCAAGGGGCACCGGGAAGCCTGCTGGCTAGAATCAAAGCCTCCAGCAGCTTCTAAGAGCCTTTACTTCTATATCGCTTGACTTAATCAAGTGACCCTTTGGGATAAAACTGCCTTAGAGCACTGAAGGAGATAAAACTAAAATGGCAGCTTTAAGAACCAGCCTCTTTGACTGGTTTGGAGGTCGGGGTATGAGGAAAGCATGGGTAATTGGAATCCAGAGACAGTCTCAGAGTTGCACTTAAATGAACATACCTCCTCCTGTCCACATGGCCCTTCCTTTCCCTCGGCACCCTGCTAACGAATGGTGAGACTTTCCAGTTTTTTGTGTGTGTTTTTAAAGATTTTATTTATTTATTTTAGGAGATGGGGAAGGGAGGAAGAAAGGGAGTGAAACATCAATGTGTGGTTGCCTCTAGCACACCCCATACTGGGGACCTGGCCTGCAACCCAGGCATGTGCCCTGACTGGGAATCAAACCGGTGAAGCTTTGGTTCACAGGCCTGCGCTCAATCCACTGAGCTACACCAGCCAGGGCCGGCTTCCCAGTTTTAACAGCAACTGCTACCATTTATTTACTGAGTGCTTATTGTGGAACGGCCTTTGTGCTGGACACTTTGGGGAAGACAGTTGCCTGAGAGTCCTGCTACAAAATACCTGTTTTGATGAAAGGTCATGGGAGCAGAGAAATTTATTAAGTTTCCCTGATACCTCTGAAAACAGCTCCGGCTACTCAGAGCTGATTGAACCTTGTTAGCTGGAAGGAAAGAGATATTCCCTTGGATGTGGGCCAGCTGGAGACCCCATTGCTTGGGGTCTGCCATGCCATTGTGGCAATCCTGCAGCTCTTTTGCCCATTTTGCATGGGGGTCTTTGGCTAGGGCTGAAGGGCCCAGTTCTCTGAGCTATGCCAAGAGCCTGTGTTGCATTAACCTGGCCCTATCTGCTGGAGGGGCGCTGAGATGGGAGTGATAAACATGGCTTCCCTTCTGAGTTAAAGCTCTCGAAGTTGTCATTGGGCAGAAATCTTTCTTAGAGAAGACGCTAGCTTCCCTAATGATTGTCTTTTTCTATTCTCACCTGAGGATATTTTTATTTGATTTTGGAGAGACTAGGGATCAAACCCACAACTCAGGTATGTGTCCTGACTGGGGATCGAGTCTGCAACCTTTTGGTGTATGGGATGATGATCCAACCAACTGAGCCACTGGGCCAGGGCTTCCCTGATGATTTTTGTAGAATTCTGGGAGTTTGACAGGACAGAACTTGTGGGTCTGAAATTTGTACTCTTGTTTGGCCTCTGGAGCCTGTAGGCTGCTAGGGCTGCTGCTATCACAAGAAACCTCTGAGCCAGGGCGTAGCCTCCACACTGAACTGTTAGTTCTTCCTCCATAGGCTGATGTGTCCCTCTGCCGCTTCGCCACTGCCTCGGTAAGGCCCTGACTCCTGGGCAGGACACACTTGGCCCTCTGTTATCAGGACCTTGCCTTCCTATCTAGCTCCACCTCTTACCACACACCACCCCTGCAGGGCTCTGTGTCCTTTGCCAGACTGGACAACCTTGACAGAGTCTTGTTGCTTCTTGCCTTTGCACTTGCTGGAAGGTCATTCTTCATCTGGCTAACTCCTATTTATGCCTCCAATGTGCCTAGAGGCCACCTCCTTTGGAAAGCCTTCTCTGGCCAACTCAGGCTGGTGCCCATGTGCCCCTTCTCATTTATTACAACACAGTATTGCAATAGTGAGTTTACTCTGTGTCCCCCTAAAACTGGAATCTGCTGGAGGGGAAGATTTGCCCTGTTCCTTCCTCACTAAACCTAGTAAGTCATTCCAAGCTTCTTATACTGACAAAATTTTAAAAGGTGTGTAGGGAGCTGGAGGGGAGGGCAGTCAGTCCTGTTCCTTTCTGAGCAAGACACACATAACCTAGGAGCCATAAAAGCAAAGGCTGGTAAAGTTGGCTATAGAAAAGTAATTTTGCCTAGCAATAGCCCAAAGGCAAAGTCAAAAGACAAACAAACTATCTGGGGAAATTATCTGTAGTTCATAGAACAAAGATCTAATCCCCTAATACATAAAGAACTCTGATACATTGATTAGAAAAGTGAGTAGAGGATAAAAACAGTGCACACTGACACACACCCTTGCCCATAAACAGCTACTGAACTACATTGATAAAGAGAGCAGTGCAAATCAAATTACACTGAAATGAAAGTTTCACCTATTAGATAGCAAGAGTGTGGAGAATGTGCACCTTCACATTTTGCTCTTTGGAGAGCAACCCAAAAATATGTTTCAAAATCACATATTACCTTACCTAGAAATTCTAGGATTTGTCCCACAGAGACACTCAACATATATGACATTATATGAGGTCCATCCAGAATGTAGCCAGCCATGAACTATGAAAAATAGAGACATTTATTGAAGAAGGTAAAAGATACAAGAAACATTGTACACAGGATGATGATGCCTCAGTCCCCTTCAGAGCTGGCACCTTGGGACCTCACACAGTTCTTCCAGTCACTGTCCGCTGCCCTGTCATATTTTCCTGAATCTTATCAATGGTCTGAAATCTCTTCCCTTTCAGGTGATTTTAGTTTTAGGAAAAGCCAGAAGTCACAGCACCAAATCTGGGCTGTAGGGGAGCTGAATCACGTGAGGGATATGATGTTCCTCAAAAAAACTCTATACAAGATGTGATGAATGAGAGGACACATTGTCATTATGAAGCTGCCAATCACCAGTTGCCCATTGCTGCGGTGTTCTGAATCATCCGAATAGTTTCTGCAGAGGAATGTTCAAGCTTAACACAAAATTTGATGCAGATTTGTTGCTCTGCTAGCTCGGTCATTTTGAATGTGATGGCCACACAGTACACATGCTTACTCGACAGTGTCTACCATTCCCAGTGACTAGTACAGTGAAGTCATCATTGTTCACACATGCACATTCTAGTCCCCTCTCCTTGGCTTTCAGATTACATTGATGTCATGCAAAGTGTTCTCATTATAGACAATGGCTGGACTTTCTCCAGACGGACCTCATATTTCAGCCAGGCTATTCACTGCAGCATTGTCAATGGTAGTAAAAGACTGGAGACGCCCTCACTATTTAACAGCTGCAGATTGCTTAAATAAATTAGGGTCATTCCTACACTGTAACTCTACAAGTTCACAAAGCAAAGTGTGGGGAAGCTCCCCAGGTGCTTGTACTGGATGATGTCTGAAATACATTGGTTAAAAGAAAATGTAAGATGCAGAAAATGAGTATTGCATACTAGCTGTGTATAAAAAAATAAGGGAGAAAAGAATATGTTCACCTCGGCTTAACACATGCATCAAATACCTATTGAAAAATAAACAAGAAACCAGGCATTGTTTCCCACTCAGCAGGGGAACTGGCTGACTTCATTTTAAGTTTTGAGCCAGCTAAATAAATTATCTACTGCAAAAGCAATTGAATACATGCTTTTAAAAAAGGGCTCCTTCCCTGTTATTCAGAAGTTCTTAAAAATGACTCAGCAAGGAGACCTGGAGTTTTCCATCAAGGTCCTTGGAGTAGACACAGGTCTGTTTTTCTTGTCATGAGAGGAAAATGGCTTTGAGGACCTCTGCATGCTTCTTACAATGCCTTTGAAGTGCCTAATCTCAAAGAGTTTATGGCTTACGGGAAGAAGACTCAAAGTTTTAAAATAATCAAAAGAGAAAATGAGAAGTGAGATCGTATGGTACAAACTTTAAGTGCTGTGGTTCAGAATTGAGAGGCAGTTAGGGTGGCCTTTTGGAGGTGTCAGAACTCAGGTGGGTGCTTCCTGGAGGCCCAGTGCAGCTGAAGCAGATAGGGAGAGTGCAGAGATGCTGCCACGTGCTCGATGTAGGTGCCCAAGTGCGAACTTGACTCCATGGACTAGGGAAGCGTGCCTGCCGAGTGTGGTAAAGGTCAGCTGTGAAATTTGTAGGACAGGTTGGAAAATTGAGAAGCTGGAGTCAGTGAGAAAGCCAGATGCTTAACCAGGAGGCCAGGCTATGCTGAGGCCTTGGCCACATCTGTGGGTGTGGAGAAGGAGAGAGTGCAGAAGTGAGTGACAGTGTGAAAGAAAATCAGCATGATGTAAGACCAGTCCTTGTGGACAGTGGAGGAGGGGCAACTTCATGAGAATTGTGTATGTGTTTGGCAAGATGATTAAGTCTCCAGTGCCACCCTCTAAAAAATATTGTGCTTTGCTTACCAGTTTTTTCTCTCAGGATTGTTCAGTCTGCCCTCATGGTTCTTGGACATTTTGCAGTGTAGAGTTAGAAAAAGCCAAAGGAGGTATGCAACTGAGTAGATGGGAGGAAAGAGGAAAAGAGCCCTACTTTGGGGTTGGTCCCAGAGTCTTTTTTGCTGTGGCAAATCAGGTAATGGGTAAAGGGAGAGAGAAATTAAAGCTAGAAGAAGAGACTCCATTAACTCAAAGTGCTGAGAGAGGCCTGCATGCAGAGGGTGGCAGGAGAGCCATTTGGTGGCCAGGAGTTGGGCTACAGCTGGGATGGGCTTGTAGAGTCTCAGAGCTGGTAAGAGGTACAAGAAAATGGGGATGGGGATAAAGGGATTTTCAGTGAATGTTGCTGAGGTTGTGAGTTGGACACACTTCAATGTTCTTCAAGAGACCCACGTAAAGATTGGGGTTCCTGCCCTGGCTAGTGTGGTTGAGTGGATTGAGTGCCGGCATGGAAACTAAAGGGTCACTGGTTCGATTCCCAGTCACAGCACATGCCTGGGTTGCAGGCCAGGCCCCTGGTGGCGGCGGGGGTACATGAGAGGCAACCACACATTCATGTTTCTCTCCCTCTCTCTAAAAATAAATAAAAATTGGGCCTCCTGGTGCTTACCACAGGCTGTGCTCTTACACTGCCTGTGCAGAAGGAGGGGGCAGAGTAAACCCCATATACACCTCAGCCCAGGGCCTTTGCCTGGTCTGTATTGTGAATGGGGGGACATGGAAAAAAATTTTTTACTTAAAATAAATACATTTTAAAAAATCGGCCTGGCTGGTGTGGCTCAGTGGATTGAGTGTGGACCTACAAAGCAAGGGGTCACTGGTTCAATTCCCAGTCCAGGCACATGCCTGTGTTGAGGGCTAGGTCCCCAGTGCGGGGTGCGTGAGAGGCAACTGCACGTTGATGTTTCTCTCCCTCTCGTTCTCTCTCCCTTCCCCTCTAAAAAATAAATAAATAAAATCTTTCTTAAAATTAAAAATCTTTAAAAAAAGATTGGGGTTCCTTTTAGGTACCTTTACCAGCATGTGCTTCTTTAGCATGATCTGTGCAGTACTAAGCCATAGGGAGCCCCAGATTATATTCAGGTTATATATATGTGTCATGCATTCTGTGTACTGCAAAGAGTTTTCTTGATCTTATTTTGCCCCTCTAACTCAACAGCATCATGATAGACTCAACTAGGATATTTAATTCCATTTTACACATGGGAATATCAGGGTCACCCTTTCTCTTTCTGCCCTACAGCTACCAAAGAGGTTGCTGCTGCCCCAGAACTAGATCTCCCCAATTCACTAGCATTTACCTCCTGAAACACCCTTCTACCACATACCACACACCATCAACACATACCATACATCACCATCACCAGCACACACTCACTACCACCACATGCCACACATAGCACCAGCATCATATACAACATGCCATGCAATACCATACACCATCACCACCACCACCACATACAATATGCCACTCGCTACCATACACCACCACCACTACCACATACCATCACCACACATACCACTGCCACTACCACCACACATGCCACGACCACACACACACCATGCCACACACTACACACCATCACCACATACTACTGCCACATACGACACAACATATCACATGCCACACACTACCACCACCACCACCACCACCACATACGACATAGAACACTAAGCACCAGCACCACCACACAACCACCATCATCACACACACACCACCAGTACACACTGCACATGACCACCACACAACCACCACCATACACAATACATACCACTACTACCACACACAATACAACACACATTAACCACTACCACTACGACCAGATACCTGGTTTTTCAGTCCCAATTTAGTGGCTGCTTCATTACCTTTTTCTTCCTGAAGTTTCTTTCATACATATTTTCTAGGGAAGCATAAAAATCTGAAATGTCATGCATCTACCTCTGTATAAAGAACCCTGGAGTCAGATCCTAGTGACTGACAGGTTGTTTACCCTGGAACCTTCCTGATGGAACCAATTATTCTACAATATTCAAGACAGGTTTGGTACCATCTAGGGCAAGGCAAGGGGCAGGATCCGGCCAGAACTGCTATCTCATAACAAAGGAATGTTGGGAGTAGGAAAGTGTGAGGGCAAGAGGCAGGTGGTGCATTTGAGCTTTAGGGCCTTTGGAGAACATGCTGATAATCGAGGTGTAATCTGGGAATGTCATCCCCTTGCTGCAATGACTTGGTCTCATGGTGATTTTATCTGCTGAGAGTATGTGGTTACCTTTGGCCTGCTAGCCCACATAGCAAGTCCCTGGGGATTGGAGACCCTGCAGACTTCCTTTTGGGCCTCTGGATTCCTGGAAGAGAGTGTAGAGTTCATAGGTACCTTCGTTTGCTTGGGCAAAGTAGGTAAAGTCTGAAGGGTTCACATTGAGGGTGGGGTGAAAATCATATCTTGTTCTCCAAAGAAATCATGGCTTAGGAGCTCATGTCACCTTGGAACTTCTAAAAATTGTACTCTTGCCCTGGCTGGTGTGTCTCAGTAGATTGGACACCAGCCTGTCACCAGTTCAATTCCTGGTCAGGGCACATGCCTGAGTTGTGGGCCAGGTTCCTGGTTGGGGTGTGTGAGAGGCAACCGATGGAGATGTTTCTCTCACACATCAATGTTTCTCTTCTCTTTCTCTCTCCCTCCCCTCTGTCTAGAAATGAATAAACAAAATCTTAAAAAAATAAAAATTGTACTCTTGGTAGGGTGAAAATTGAACTATGGAGCTCCTCTCTTGGGGAGAAATTGGCATGATGGGAACCTGGGAGAGAAGGCCATATAAGGGAACTCATGTTTACTTGGCACCAGGCCTGTGCCAGATGTGAGCTTTGCATACCTTATCTCATGTAACTCTCCTACCAGTTCTTCAAGATAGGCATTGCTATGCCCATTAAAAAAATAAAACCTGAGGCTCAGAGAGAAGAGTATGAAAATTATACTAACTACAAACTAAAACATGGCCTCTTACACAGGCAGGACTTGAGTTGGGAATAGAGAGAGATACAGATAGGCTGACCATGTATTTTGTTGTCCAAAGTGGGCACTTCTGAGAATGAAAAGGAACAATAAATGTGCCAGGACAATAGGCATCAACTGAGTCTGTCTTCGGCAAATTGGAATGTGTAGTCACCCTACACACAGAGCACCAGAGGGAAGTGTGGCTCAGCAACCATGCCCTGGGAATTAACAGCCACCATTTATTATGTAATCCTCATAGCAATTCCTAAGGTGGATTTTTTGTTCCCTTTTGACAGATGAGAAAACCGAGGCTGAAAGGAGTACTTACTTTCTGAAGGTCACACAGCTTTTAAGTGGGGAAGCTGTGCCGTCTCCAAGCCCTTGCTCTTTTTGTGGGTCATACTGCCTCCCAGGCTTAGGATCTTTGGAGGAAGACCAGAGGAAAAGACCAATTAGAGAAAGAGATAGAAGGCTTTTTGGTCTTGGAGTGTGACAGGCCATTTCCCAGTCTGTCCCTGCAGTTTCTATGTGGCCTCTTCTGGGACAGGCATGTGAGCAGTGGCTAGGGAAGGAGAGTGTGTGTGTGATGGTGGCTGGGGCACAGTGGAGGCCCCAAAGTCTTCTGTAGTCTTCTCTGATCTTCCTGGACCTTCAGGGGAGCAGTGGCCAAAGCAGGGGATTTCTAGGAAAAACAGGTCATTCATTGAGTTGCCCCATCTCTATGATCAATGAACAGGAACACTGAGAAATTGAATGGCAGATATTTTGGAGCCAGGACTGTATCCCTGGGCTACAGATTCTGCTGTGACTCCAGCTCAGTCCCTCTGGGGCTCTTGGAGAGACTGTGGTAGTCTAGATGCAGGAATACTCTAGGCTGAAGGGCAGAAAGTGTACAAGATCGTACATGTGTAGGTTTGTGAGCTTCTTCAGGATTAGTTCCTGCTGTATTCACCAGCCAGCCTGACATTCAGGGATGGGTCAGTGGCCATAATACCAACAATGGAGGGCCTGGTCCAAAGCTCAGATGGTCTTTGCAGGCCCCTGACTTCTTTTTTTAATCCTCACCTGGGGACTTTTTTTTTTTTCATTGCTTTGGAAACATTGATGTAATAGAAAAACATAGATCAGTTGCCTCTCATAGGTTCCCTGACTGGGGATCGAACACACTGCCTGGGTATGTGCCCTGACTGGGAATTGAACCTACAACCTTTCAGTGTATGGGTGATGCTCCAACCAACTGAGCTACACAGGCCAGAGCCAGGCCCCTTGACTTATTGTATCACAGGTAGATGGGCAAGGAATTGGCTGCCGATCATGTAGTCAGGCAGACCACACCACCTGCACAGACCCAGGCTTGGGCAGGCTGCAGGCTGCCAAGAAAAGGAAAGTCACTGCCCACAGGGATGCCAGTCTACCTGGGTACCTCACACAAGTACAGTACCCTAGGCCTCTGCAAGCCAGTGGTGCCTCATCAAGGGCCGATTATGTTTCTTTATTCATTTATTTATTTAAAAATTTAGCCCTGGCTGGTGTAGCTCAGTGGATTGAGTGCAGGCCTGCAAACCAAGGGGTTGCAGTTCAATTCCCAGTCAGGGCACATGCCTGGGTTGCGAGCCAGGTCCCCAGTAGGGGGTGTGTGAAAGGCAACCACACACTGATGTTTCCCTTTCTTCCCCCTTCTCTTCCCTTCTCTCTGAAAATAAATAAATAAAATCTTTATGAAAAAAGAACACTCATTTAAAAAATACATTAAAAAAAGAAATCTTTGGAAATTAATAGACTTTACAAACACAGAAGGAAAAATACCATATGATTTCACTCATATATAGACTCTAAAGAGCAAAAGAAGTGAACAAACAACAGAAACAGACTCATAGATACAGAGAGTAGACTGATGGTTGCAAGATGGGAGGGGGTTAAGGGGCTGAGTGAAAAAGAGGAAAGGATTGAGAAGTACAAATTGGTAGTTACAAAATAGTCACAGGGATGTAAAGCACAGTATAGGGAATATAGTCAATAACATTGTAATAACCATGTATGGTGCTGGGCAGGTACTTAAAATATTGGGATTGACCTCATACAATGTATGAGGTGGTATGCAGGGGCAGACTCCAGAAAAAGGTTTGGTGTCTGTCAGGATTTTCCTTTGTGTATACTGCTTGTGGAGCTAATTGACTCATGATCTCAATGGTCTAAACCACTGGGTGTGTTGGTTTTGGGACAACCTGGGAGGGAATCCAGGCCTGGTGATGTCAGGTGCTGCCTGTGACCAGCCCTGGGCTACTGTTTGGAGCTACAAAGTGATCCACAGTTTGTGGCTGCCTCTACTGGGCCTGGGTGTGCATGAGAGGGGCCTAGTTGTGCACCAAGACTCTGGTTTCCACCAGGACTGAGCCTGGGGACAGGTCAGCAAAAGGCCCAAGGCTCCCTGAGATCCACACTCACCTATTAACTGCCTTTTAAGCTCAGTCACTGAAAGAGTTGTGCTAAAGGCCACCAGCAATCAAGTCTCAACTACAACAGGAGACATTATCTCAAATAACCCACAGAAGGGACATTTCTGGAGCACCCAGCTCAGGTGATCAGGAGACTGCACGACTGAGTCCTATAGACACCTACTATTTAAGGCCACCATACCAAGGCATAGAAGATCTACCTAATACACAAAAACAAATACAGAGAAGGAGCCAAAATAGGGAGACAAAGAAACATGCCCCAAATAAAAGAAAAGGAGAAATCTCAGAAAAACAACTAAATGATATGGGAGGCAAGCAATCCACCGGATACAGCATTTAAAACAATGGTTATAAGGATGCTCCAGGAACTTAATGAGAATCTCAACAAAGTGAGAGAAAACATAAAATAAGATATATAAACCATAAAGAGAGCCAGGTAGAAATGAAAATACAATATCTGAAATGAAGAATGTACTAGAAGAAATCAACAGCAGGTTAAATAAAGCAGAGAATCAACAGCAATTGACAAAGTAGCAGAAAACACCCAATCAGAGAGGCAGAAGCAAAAGCAAAGAAGAATTTTAAAAATTGAGGCTAGTCTAAGACACTTCTGAGACAACCTGAAATGCAACAACATCCACATCATTGGTGTATGAGAAGCAAAAGAGAGAAAGCAAGGGATTGATAACCTATTTGAAGAAATAATGGAAGAAAACTTTCCTAACCTGGTAAAAGAAAAAGACACACAGGTCCAAGAAGTGCCCAGTCTCAAACAAGATAAAACCAAAGAGGCTCACACCAAGATATGTTATAATTAAAATGCCAAAGGTTAAAGACAGAATCATAAAAGCAGCAAGAAAAGTAGTTACTTACCTATGGGGGCCAGGGTGGGGGTGTTGCATAAGCCTATCAACTGATTTCCCAACAGAAATTTTTTAGGCCAGAAGGGATGAAAAGCAAGGGTCTACAACCAAAACTACCCTACCTAGCAAGGCTATCATTTAGAATCAAAGGAGAAATTAAAAAAAAATTCCCAGAAAAGAAAAGGCTAAGCGAGTTTATTACTACCAAACCAGTATGTTAAAAGGTCATCTTTAGGAAGAAGGGGAAAAAAGAAGCCATGTCTGGTGTGGCTCAGTGAATTGAGTGCTGGACTGTAAACCAAAGGGTCCCTGGTTTCATCCCCAGTCAGGGCACATGCCTGGGTTGAGAGCCAGGTCCCCAGTGGGGGACATGCAAGAAGCAACCACACATTGATGTTTCTCTCCCTCTCTTTCTCCTTTCCCCTCTCTCTAAAAAATAAATAATGTTTATTTAGTTTTAAAAATGTTTAAAAAGAGAGGAACATAGTTATAAAGAATAAAATGCCAATAAATATGTACCTATTAATAAGCACTTTAAATATAAGTGGATTAAATCCTGCAATCAAAAGACATAGGGTAGCTGAATGTATAAGAAAACAAGACCCATAAAAACAAGATACATTATTGTATGTATCTCACTTCACACAAGAGACCGACCTCAGAATGAAAGATACACACAGACGAAAGTAAAGGGAGAGAAAAAGATAATTCATTCAGTGGAAACAATAAAAAAGCTGGGATAGCAATATTTATATCACACAAAATGGACTTCAAAATAAGGCTATACAGTAAGAGACACAGAAGGACACTACATAATGATAAAAGGATTGATCCAACAGGAGGATATAACCCTTGTGAACATTTATGCACCCATCATAGGAACACCTAAATAAATAAAGTAAATATTGAAGGACACAAAGAGATTGAACATCATGTAGTCACAGTAGGGGATTTTAACACTTCATTGACATCAGTGAATAGGTAGATCTTCAAGACATAAGATCAACAAGGAAACAGCAGCTTTAAGTGACACACTAGAGTAGATGGATTTAATTGATATTCTCAGAGCCTTTTACCCCCAAACAGCAGAATATACATTCTTTTCAAGTGCACATAGAACATTTTCCAGGATAGACTACATGTGAGGACACAAAACATCTCAATAAATTTAAGAAGAATTAAATCATGTGAAGCATCCTTTCTGACCATAATGACATGAAACTAGAAATTAATTGCAAAAAAGAAGACAAAGCCTGAAAAACACACAAAGACATGGAGGCTAAATAACATGTTTTTAAGCAACAAATGGGTTAACAATGAGATCAAAGAAGATATCAAAAGTTACCTTGAGACAAATGAAAATGAACACAAAACAACCCAAAATCTATGGGACACAGCAAAAACATTCCAAAGAGAGAAGTTCAAAGCAATACAGATCTACCTCAAGAAACAAGAAAAATCTCAAACAATTAAACTTACACCTAAAGGAATTAAAAAGAGAACAACAAAGCACAAACTGAGTGGAAAGAAGGAAATAATTATGGTTAGAATGGAAATAAATGACATAGAGACTAAACAAATATACAAAAGGTCAATGAGACCAGAAGCTGGTTTGTTAAAAAGATAAATGAAATTGACAAATCTTTAACCAGACTCATCAAGAAAAAAGAGAGGACCAAAATAAATAAAATCAGAAATGAAAGAAAAGTATCAACTGACAAGTACCAAAGATTCCAAGAAATTATCACAAACAACTACTATATTTTGCTGTGTATAGTGCACCCTTTTCTTGCCCAAATTTTTGCGGGAAAAATAAGGATGCACATTATACATGGGTATAATGATTATATATCATGGGTATAATAACGGGTAAATAATCGCGTGTATAATGTGCACAAAATGTGGGTGTGCATTATACACAGCAAAATACACTATATGCCAACAAATTAAACAATCTGGAAAAAAATGGATAAATATCTAGAAACACAGTCTTCCAAGGCTGAATCAGGAAGAAACAAAACATCTGAACAGACAAATTACAACTAATTAAATCAAAGCAGTAATAAAAAAATCACAACAAAAGTCCTGGACCAGATGACTTTA